TCTTTACTGCAAGACGACAACGCTAGGCCTCATAGGGTCAACATAGTTACGGATTTCTTTTGGAAGCAGAGTGTAGAGCGGTGGGGAGTGGTAAGCATGCTCGCCAGATCTCAACTCAATTGAGCATGCCTTGGATGAACTCGGCCGACGTGTGTCCACACGTCACCCAGCACCAGTGGATCTACCAGGACTCCTCAGAGCTCTAGTAGAGGAATGGAATGCGATTCCGCAAGCTTTCTTTATGAACTTGATAAGGAGCATGATAACAAGGTGTGCCTGTGTCTTGGATGCGCAAGGAGGGTACACAAGATATTGAATCACCGAGTGCTTCATGTTGTTATTTTAATTTTAGGGGTTGGTTTATACAACTGATGTTTGCTGATGTTGTTTTGTGTGTATGTCACGATGTGTCAGGTTTGTCAACACATTAAACATTCTATTATTTCCGAGAAACTTTTGTTTATTTTTGTGCTATATATCATTTGACCCTTTATCAATGACGCTTAGTATATTTTTGCAGGGTATATTTGCATGTATTTAATTTACTCTTGCAAAGGGCGCATGCATACCTGTAGTTCATGCATCATTGTTATTTGTTATTGTTATTTGTGTCAATGTATTTGTGTGAATGCAGTCGATTTACTATTGTTGAATACCAACTAAATGTGAAGCTTATCAAGTCAGTAAACTTTCCTGGAAAATTGTTTTCCAGTAATCATCAAGTAAGCAGTCCGTTAGGTCATTCTAAGGATTACATGTGATGAAGGCCCCACTCCGTGTCCTGTCAATGGACGCCATTTAAAAAACTGTGTGTCTACTGGCGGGACCATCCGAAATGGACCAATGTGTTTCAAAACTTTCATTTTGTATTTAAGTAGATATTCGTTGAAGGAAACGACTCATTAACAGACTAAGAAATGAACACCATTTCAAATTAGTGGACTTAATACGTCTGAAAAATATGTGATGTGTATACATATCAGAGCTAAGTGCTGAAGATCATTTATTGTCACAGAGACATATTCATATTTGTTCCTATATCTGCATGAAATACTAATTTCTAAAGTAGCAAAATCGAAATCGGCAGTGACAACGGTTAACAGGTGAAGTAGAATCATGTAGGTCCCAAAGCACAGGGAAATGGGACTGCAGCAGCAGGACTTCGAATGCCCAGATTATATCTGCTGAAGTAGAGCACAAAGCGCCTTTAAGCAGCTGAGCTGAGCTGGATATCGGCGCTATACGTACGTACGTACGTACGTATGTATGTATGTATGTATGTGCATGCATGCATGTATGTATGTAATGATGTATGTATGTATGTGCGTGCGTGCGTATGTATGTATGTATGTATGTATGTATGTATGTATGTATGTATGTATGTGCATGCATGCATGCATGTATGTATGTATGTATGTATGTATGTATGAATGTACATACATAATTTACTTTGAGCTGAAATAACAGTTGTATGAGAAACCTGATCATCCCATGGCATCCATTTTACCATCCTCTGAAATAACACGTCACAGGCACGTTCTGCAATGTTTCAGCAATGCTATGACGGTGGTCTGGTACTGTTCAAATCCGGACCAGACAATCCACCGATTGACACGAGCAACGACCCAGGCAGTAACCGGGTTTGACCATCCGATCCAAGTAATTCTACAAAGGCATTTAGAAGTAAACTGTTGGTGTAGTGATACAAGACAAATGTTCCTTATTTGTTTCTCACTACGTTTCTTGGCTACTTCTTGTCCCTCCTTCAATGATAATCCGCCTGAAGAAAGGCCAAGACCTAGCCCAGAAACGTCGTGTGAAACAAATATAGAAGTTGTTATCCATAACATTTGTCTTGTATCCGATCCATATATTACCGCTGACGACCAACGTCAGTTCTTGCAGATTTCCTCCAACCCATTCCAACATATTGGTGTAAGGAAATATCTGGTTAGGAATACGATGAACCGTCTCCATGGCCGAAACATTCAGTATTTGGCTGGAGGAAGGGCAATATCTTTTTATCATTTAACGTAAACTTTATCGTCTTGGTTTACTTTCCTATTTCCCAAACATTCCTGTTGGTTGGTGAAAAAAAAGAAAGCTATAAATTCTAATTTCACTAATTTCAAAATATTTAACTGGTGGGAAACATTGAGGTATGAAAGAATAGCATTCGTCTCAATTCAATGCCATTTTCAGTTGTCACATGTGTAGACCTCACCTGAAATCATTATTGAACGGTCCGGCAAATATATATGAAAAAAAAGTAGAGGAAGGAGTATGCTCTGGAATGTAACTCAACTTTGGAACTGGGTTCAACGGGCTTGTTGATGATCCAAGTGACGCAGCTCGGCTTCTTGAACGGCTATACAAGTGAATCCATGACACTTCTCCATACAAATCACACTGCCGACGTGGATGTGTTCCCTGGCGCCATCAGTGAACGCCACCTCCCACGCGGTATCGTCGGACCAATTGATGCATGCATCATTGGCACTTAGTTCCAGCTCCTCAAAGAGGGGGACAGGTTTTGGTACGAGAGGGCAATAGATCCAGTCCGCTTCTCTATAGGTCAGCTCCGCTCTCTCCAGTCTGTGACGATTGCCAAGGTTGTCTGTGATAACGCCAGACTGGCTCTAATCTAGCCATATGCACTCCATGTAACGGACTATATTACAAACCCTCTGGTCAGATGCAGGGACCTGCCAGATCTTGACCTAACACCTTGGGCAGAAAACCCTCCATTCCGGAGCGTGGTCACGGTGCATCGGCGGCATGCAACATCGTCGTCGGGAATGCAGCTCCCAATACAGAAGATGTCTTGGGACCAGACAATCAAAGAAGACCATGCAGAAGAGCGCCATATAATCACGGATATGGACGACGACTCGGGTGACGTTTAAACCGGGAAATGGAGAAGACAGTATGACGTCATTGACACGTCATCATCCCGGAGTCTGCGACTCTCCGTTCATAAGAACGATGTCGGAACTGCATCCATGGACATGGTATCATGGGGAAATAATACACGAAAATGTTTCCATAAATAAAAGACACGCCATCATTTCATCATTAAAAAACAAAACAAAACAAAACAAAAAAACAACTCGAGGTTTATGTAAAGGTTTAGTATATAACAAGGCGAGGCGAGGCGAGGCGAGGCAAGATCAAAGACCAATACAGTTTAGATCAATTGTATACTTGCCTGTGCAGATGGCGAGGTACGCATATTGACAACAATCATATTATTATCATTATTGCCCAAGAGTGAGGATATGTGTAAACGATACACTTCGTAGCTTTAAATACTTCAAACCTGTTTTCACATTTTAACAATTTGATAAATTTGAACATACTTATGTTTTTAAATAGAATATTCTGTAAATATTGTTGGCGTATTTCTTGATATTTTGGACAAATCAAGTGATCTTTTATTTCGTTAGTACAAAAGGGGCATATCTATCAGCAAATGGGATTTTAGGCACACTCCATCTTCCTTTTCAATCATAAGTATATGTGAACTGAGACGGAAACGTGTAAATGCAATTCTTAACTTCTTAACATCAATGTTAGTTAAGTATTTCTCGATGCACAGAGTTTCCTTAATATGAAGATACAACCTTGTTTCACTCAGAGTTGATAATTGATGTTTCCACATTTGAGAATAAATATCCTTAGCCCTTTGTGTAAATTCTCTCACATTCGCTCATGCTTAACAGATATATCGCATAGTCCAGGGCCTCCTTTCACAAAGCACTAAGTTGATCGTATGTCACAAAGGTAACCTTAGTGCAAAATTAAGAATGGGAGTTAAGGTTATCCTTAGTAAAAGTTGCTTCGTGAGGCGTTCTATTTTATCCCATTGGTCTCGATACCGATATAGCTGGAGCCTAGGTATTTAGCTGCGGCTTGGGGGAGGAAGAGGGCGTTGTAACGACTACTGACATTCTGACATACAACAAGATCATGACCCTGTATTTTTCAAGTCATCCCGACATCCATGTCACACCGCACATATATGGGTATATCTCGTCATGTAGACATCACGAGTTTTCAGGTCGATTTCCAATATGTCCCGTTCTTCACCTTCCGTCATCAGCAAATTTGAAACATTTTGGAATCGGAAAACTCCTTTATTGCTTTTTTACATACTGTCCCATGGCCGTTGCGATTTTCACTTCAGTGGGTCTCCTCTTCTCAGATTAAACTTCTATCAAAATATATTTTTGGAGATCAAAGCGCCAGTCAACAACGTATCCAATCTCTAACCATGAAAACGACGGTTCAGAGTGAACTTCTATCTGCCAGAAAAGATTATATTAGCCAAACGTCGATTAGCCTAGTGCCGTCCCATCAAATGACGTACAGTATGTTGTGGGATGACACGCGGACGTCGTGCACGCCGTCTGCGCCATGGGACTATTTGCCAACGAACGTTTCCACCACATACCTGTTGCCACTGGTTCCTTATCTTAGTGTCCGTTTGCAGCAAATGTCACCGTTCTGTCAAGAATCTCCATGATTGGGTTTGTTGCCCATGGGCGTCCATAGTGGCAACCATCGACGTTGTGTGTTGTTGGTATCGGACCTACAATCTGATGACAGATTGAAAACATGCCATGTTTTGGTAACAATATTCTGACGTGTGCACGCCTAAACAAGACTCGTAAATGTTCAGCACGTTGCCAGCATCGCATGGTCAGAACTGTTACCTTCCAAATGATGATGACTATGAGGATGAGGATGAGGATATGTGTGTGTGCGTGCGTGCGTGCGCACACTTCTGCAAACGGGTAACGTAAGGATGCCCCATTCATAATCGTGCCAATAAATGGCCACGGTCAAGAACTGTTTGTGTACTAGCGTTATCATCCGGACGAAGGTAATCTATTAACATGCAATTCTTGTTTCCAAAACAGAGCTGAATTGAAATCCCACAATGTACTAGATACACCTGAAACATAATGCATTTCAAATGTACAAATGAATATAAGAACTGAACGCTATAAACATTTATTGTCACAGAAACCTATTCATATCTGTATGAAATGCTATTTTGTACAGTAGCAGCAATAAGATGGGCAGTGATAACGGATAAACGGCGAGCCATGATTATATCGGCCTGGGCCTGGGACGATAACAGGAAATTGGAACGTCAAAGACAGAAGGATTTTGAATGCCGAGCTTGTATCCGCTGAAGAAGAGCGCTTGATTTACTGGAACTGAAACAAACAATTGTTTTCTAAGAAACCAGGTGAATACATGCCATCAGTTTTGAAGTATCTTCATGACTTAACTACTCACTCACACTATTCGCAAAGGTTTTACTTGAAACATCCCTTGGTCCTCAGCAAATGTTGAACAGTGCAAACAAAATGAAATTTCCAGTTCTTTACTGGTGCAAAAAACAGTTTTGGCGGGAGGGAGATGATTCTTATTTTCAAATTTAAAAGTAAAAATTCCAAAAGATGTAACTATGTTATTCTAAATATTTAGGTATTTTCAAAGCTAAAGCAAATGTCTATTTAATATACATGTATAACACAATTTTAGCGGATTTTGTCGGATTCTTACACAATGGGTACCTACCTGTTGGTGTGCCAACGACCGCCATCCCTACTAGGATGCAGTCGGGGTTGGTGTAGCTCACAGTGGCATTGAGGCCTGCCAGAGCTATCTGCCAACTGTCGTATTTCACCCCATTTTTCTTGGTACCGATATAGCTGGTGCCAAGGTATGTAGATGTGACTGGATGACAGAAGAGGGTGTTAGACATAAAAGAATACGTAGGTAGATTATTTGACCCTTTGTCATATGCCCTGAATGGTCACGAAACACCGATAACTCACATACACGGCGAGGGAGATGAGAATATATATATGGAAAACCCAAGGTCATAATATTTAATACTTGATACAAAATGAACTCAAATATAACAAATTGCTATGTAGAGATCATGAGTGTTCCCGTCCATATCCAAAATGACCCCTCCTAGAAGTCTGTCATCAGACTACTTTCAAATATTTTCATATCTGAATAAGTCTTTCTTGTGTTTTTTTCATATCGTCAACAAATCCGTTCCTATTTTCCTCATTTTCACGTTTACTTGACGTCGTAGATCTAAAGAATCGCCGAAATCGAATATGTTTCATTTTTTAATTCTGACGTCGTCAACGTTCCTTTGCATCAAACATCCGTGGAGTTTTCAGTAGTGCTGATATTGGCATACAACCTGCGATACGATTTATTACGATACTAAAATTTTATATTGCCAAAGTATCGTGCACTGAAGCTGCGATACGATACGAATCCCGATGTAAGGGTGGCGATACGATACATATCACGATACTAAATTCTAACACCAACTATAAAACACCCTAAGATCAAAACAAAACCAATTTTAAAGTTTTTCGTCAAATTCCGCCAGCGTTGTTCAATGTTCATTCGGAAACAAGATAATAAGTTTATACACGGACTTTGTGAATGTTGATAACATGTGAGCTCTATGACTGACACAGTTCTTGGCGCAAGAATTTCCGAGAAAATGTTTATGAAGGGAAAATAAGTAAGCACGTATTGTAATCCTTGAACAAACGTAAGTATTTGTTCTCGACAGATATCGCGATTCGGCAATATTCAAAGTTAAACATCGATGTATCGTGGCTCATGTGAAGTATTGTATCGGGATATACAACCTTGTAAAAGTTTGTATCGATTCACTGTATCGGCGGTACATGGCTCGATGAATCGTCACACCACTAGTTTTCAGCCCTGTAATCAGGTTTTAATTATGGTTACCCTGCACGGTTAATTGCTTTTCGCTGTTATCGGGGTGGCACAATTGTACATAACAAGATTAATTCGTTTGATAAATACACTGTTCTAGCAAAATGTTTGAGGGTTTCTATTATTTCAAAAATTCAGTATGACACACAGTTAATAAATATATTAGGCACATAAAGAAACTGTGCATATAAAAATTTAAAATCTAAATTTATCAAACCTGTGTAGACACATAAGGATTTAAACTCAGAGCTTAGTGATATGTATCCAACATGCATGCACGTGCCACGTTCTGTGACGTCAGTGGGTTCGTCCTTGAGACGTGCAATACGTTGTTGCACGTGCATTCCGGGAAAGAGAAACAGAGCAAATGAATGCCACACAATACTGTCACTTTGGAAAGCTCAACCCCTGCCCTTGCAATCGTTCAAAACATTAAACGGCTATTGAAACGCATAGCATGCCAAGGCCACCTCTGCACAACGTCATGAGGCCATTGGGATGGTCCGTGGGGGAATGTCTCAACGACAAGTGGCTGCACATTTCCACTGCCACCAGAACACCATTTCTGCACTGGTGAGACGCTACCAGAACACAAATGACGTCATCGATCGGCCACGTTCTGGACGTCCACGTGTAACAACGCCAAGACAGGACAGATGGATAAGGGTGACCCATCTTCGCCACAGGTTTCAGACTGCAGCGATGACTGCCCGAACCATCCCATCCGTATCCATCCTAACACAGTTCGACAACGTTTAAGTCATCACGGGATCAGACCACGACGACCCACCATACGGCCTATCCTGACACAACGTGATCGACAAACTCGCCGAATGTGGTGCCGAAAGACCCTTGTTTTGGTGGAGATACCATGCCGCAGTGAAGCATGAATACCCCACTCAGACACATTATACTCCGAGCCGACCAGTCCTTGTTGTACCCATTAATGCTGAGCGCCAGGTAGGGACCAACAAGTACCATATACTAACGTCTGGTATGACGCGGTCGGGGATCGAACCTTTCGCTCTCCGGACGGACGCTCTAACCACTACACCAAGGAGGCGGTCCTTTCCAAATAAGACCCCTTGGACGTAGAAAAATACGCATTGCTCATTTCTGCACTAATCTCTCCTCAGTGAAGTCCGTTTTTTCACGATTCATATCTCCCTACCAATAAGGCGGTAGTTAGACCGAGCATAGTTAAACATATATTGCACACTTTCACATTTTAACTACATAAATTATCGATATAAATGTAAAAAAAAAAAAGTGTTTTTTTCTATTTCTGACAGTACGTTAGGCTATTAGTTAACTCTGTGCGTAAATGGTTCGATCGTTTCCACACAAACACTCACACGTCAGACAGATGAGTGTTTTGAAAATAAAATATAATAGGCAATTGTAACAGTGAACAGTTTCACAGATGTTATTGATAGCCGTAGTTTAGGAGGTGAACATTAATTATACATCAAAGGAACTGTTGTCAAAGGCACCTACCTGGGATGCAGTTTGGGAGCATGGTTTCTGTGATGTTTCCTTTTGTACATGTGCCATCAGCCGCAATGTAGTAGCGTACTCTCTGAAACATCACAGAGTCAATTACCACGTATATATCACATGTGCAAACATATATTGGGTGAGTTCAGTTTGATGTCACTGTTAGCAATGCTATAGTAGTATCACCAGAAATGGACTTCACACATTGTGCCCATGTGGGAAATCGAAACCAGGTCTTCGGTGTCATGAGCGAACGCCTCAACCGATGAGCTACCCGACCACCACGCTAACATAGAGAGTAAACGTTATTATTTTTATAACGGTTACAATGATAAACGCAGAAGCAGAAATGGAACGCAGGAAGCTGATTAACCCATGCCAATGTACCCTTGAGACTTACAACAGTGAACTTTAAAAACGAAACTGAGCCAAAACTAAACCAAACTAAACTTTAATGAAACGTAGATACCAAGATACAGTGTCAAGTAAACATTAGTGAGATACAGGAATAAATGCTAACTAAACAATTCGCAGTAAGAGCCAGAGTGAACTAAACGCCAAAGAACTGTGGGATCGAGTGTGAACTTAACGCCAAAGAACTGTGGGTTCCAGTATGAACTAAACACCAAAGAACTATGGGTTCCAGTATGAACTAAACACCAAAGAACTATGGGATCCAGTGTGAACTAAACACCAAAGAACTGTGGGCTCCAGTGTGAACTAAGAACGAAAGAACTGTGGGATCCAGTGTGAACTAAACACCACAAAACTGTGGGAGCCAGTGTGAACTAAACTTGAAAGTACTGTGGGATCCAATGTGGACTAAACATGAAAGAACTGTTGGATCTAATGTGAACTAATCGTCAAAGAACTGTTGGATCATGTGTGAACTATACATGAAAGAACTGTGGGATCCAGTGACATCAAAACTCCAAGGAACTATGGGATCCAGTGTGAGCTAAACGTCAAAGAACTGTGGGATCCAGAGTTAACTAAACACGAAAGAACTGTGGGATCCAGTTTGAACTAAACGTCAAGGAACTATGGGATCCAGAGTTAACTAAACACGAAACAACTGATCTGGGATCGAGAGTTAACTAAACACGAAACAACTGTGGGATCCAGTTTGAACTAAACGTCAAAGAACTGTGGGATCCAGAGTTAACTAAACACGAAAGAACTGTGGGATCCAGTTTGAACTAAACGTCAAGGAACTGTGGGATCCAGAGTTAACTAAACACGAAAGAAACAATCCTGAACTAAATGGGATCCAGAGTTAACTAAACACGAAAAACACAGTTTGAAACAACTGTGGGATCCAGTTTGAACTAAACGTCAAAGAACTGTGGGATCCAGAGTTAACTAAACACGAAAGAACTGTGGGATCCAGTTTGAACTAAACGTCAAAGAACTGTGGGATCCAATGTGAACAAATTTTCAAAGAAATGTGGGGATGTTGTGTGAATTAAGCAGCAATTAGAAATTGGAACCACAGCTATTGCAATTTGGGATATACCCGAGTCACACAACAAGGAACTGTAGGTACAAGAACAGATTATAAGATAAAGATCCAACGCTTAACAGGTAACATGCTTGAGGAGACAGCTGGAGAGATAGGTATTAGAAACACTGAAACTGATAGGCAAGCACACATATTAACCCGATCAAGAAATGTATGGAACTACCTTCGCGTAGTCTGTAACAACCCTGTTCCTAAACACACGCTTACGCGTGGACGTTCCGAAGTCGTAGTACTGGATGGCGACGGTCAGATGGTAGCTGTCGTAGTAGTAGTCGGACGTTATCTGAAGTATGAATTCAAATATACAAAAATATACTGGATATATGAACCGTGTCAATATGGTCGAATCTCCAAACTATTTTACATGATGCATTTTGATGATTTTCTTTTGATAACTTTGTGCAAATACAATAATAATAGTTGTCAGGTGTTTGAGGAATTGCGTCTATATTGTTATCGCTGCAACAATGTTGTGAACAACTCATTCACCTGTACTGTTACAAACTGCAAACGGTGCACATAACAATGACGCTAACATCAACTTACATGTTGTCCACTGGCGATAACTTGGATGTCCGACATCGTTGCTGACCATGTACCACTCATACAACAAAATGTTCCATGAGCCGTGACGGCCGCCAGACAAGATAGAGTGACCAGCAGAAGCAGCTTGGTGGACATCATGACGTAGAATGGTATAACTGTAACAAGCTGACTGCCAGTTTTATAGTCTATGGGAACGTTTGCGCGATTGTTTATACAATCAGTTGTCATATTCAGGAACAGTTTTTCTATTGTTTCATAGTTAGAAGACAAATGTTCCAGATTAGCGTGATGCGTGAGAAGTGAAACCAGTGACCGAACAGAGAACCGTTTAAGATAAATGGTGATTAGTTTTAACTTAAGGGCCAACATGTGTAGGTTACTCATTACAAACAAATGATAGAACTGGTTCGACCAAACGCATCTTATCAGTGTAAGATTAACATTCAGTACATATTTCGCAGTATGCTGGAGTCTTACCTGAAGCGCTTGGAATGTATAAATACATGTATGTATAAATATGTTCACCTGCGGACGATATTCTTCAAAGTGACCCGTGACCCATCAACTCCCCTTCAGGCAGAGGAACAACAGCAATATGGAGATTGAACTCTCCTTGTTGTTCAATATGGAGATTGGACTTAGCCTCTCAAACCTTGGCTTCATTAGACCCTTAAGCCCTCTGTCTGTAATATTCTTTCATTCGTTTGGTCAGTCAGTGTTCTGTGACAGTCATCTAATAACTGCTGGGTTTTCGTCAACTGACATAACGAATATTACGCGTACATAATTGGCGATGGCATGTTATAATTATCAAGAAACCCATGCTTGTCGTAAGAGGCGACTAACGGTATCGGGTGGTCAGGCTCGCTGACTTGGTTGACACATGTCATCGGTTCCCAGTTACGTAGATCGAGGCTCATGATGTCGATCACTGGATTGTCTGGTCCAGATTCGATTATTTACAGACCGCCGCAACATAGCTGGAATATTGCTGAGTGCGGCGTAAAACTAAACTCACTCACTCACTCACTCACTCAAGAAAACGCCTAATTGTCAAAAGAGACCATCGCCGTTGGATTTTCGTAGACTGATACAACGAAAACTGCACGTATATATTTGTAATTAACACGAACGAATGTTACCATGCAGTTATGAAAACATGACCTTCGTGAGATATATGCAATTGCTTTACAATTACACTGCTGACGTAATGACAGTAAAATTTGATCCTTACAATTATTGTGACAATTAGACACACAAACGCATACATATACAGTGGACTCACTACAAACTGTCATGCCCCTTATCCGACATTCCCTGTAAACCGACATATTGTACCTATATAATATCGTATAACAAAATCCCTCTAATCCGACATCCATCCGTATTCCGACACTCAAATCCGTTCCTAAAACATGTTTTTAGTGCAAATTGACTCTCTCTAAACCGACATTGTAATTTCACAAGAGATTGGATCAGCCAAAACATGGTGTGCATTTAGCAATCAACACGCTTGTACGAGAGGTGGTCTAATTACTCACCAACGTTTGAAATGCCGGTTGTATCCCATCATATGCCCATTTTTCATACGGCCACCAGTCATACGGAACGGAACGGATTAACTAAAACAAGGGTCATGCTCCCTACGATACAATAGACTCGTCAACTTTTCTTGGGCGAGATACAAAGTGATTGTGAAACATAATTCAATACGTCTACTCTGCATACCGATTGTTTTGAATATGTTCGTAGAAAAGCGGGATAAGAATCCAGTTCCATTTCCAATTCCACAATGCCTATCAAACAGATAATTACATGTTAAGTGCTTGTTAAGAGTTTCTAGAAACTCCTTCCAAACCGACACCCCTCGAAACCGACATTTGACACCAGTCCCTAGCGATGTCGGTTTAGAGGGAGTCCACTGTACATGACACCAAAGTGGTCACATGGTGACCTTACCCCGACTCTAATGTACCACAATTACCCGTCAATTTCAAGTTATTTGTGTGTCTGTATACACTTTACATGTATGTTATGTCGTAGACTCAAACACTGTCAAATTAGAAACACATTCAAAGATTAAATACTGGGTCAACCAAGCGGGGCTGGATCTTGTTATCTCCGAACCATCTGTGTGCTCTCTAGAACAGCATGATGTCAGTTCAGTGTGCATTGCATCATGCACACCGGTATGTTGTTCGTGTATTGTCACATGACCATACAAACCGTGAGTAAGTATGTTTTACCATAGAGGATGGGTAGTGAAGGCGCTACTTTCGGTACTAAGATGGTTCCCGGCTCCCTTTGCGCTCGCCAACTTGCAATATGACATTCGTAACTACTCGTGTCATTCCGACAAGCCATTATTGCCAACGGCAATCGTTCACTTGTTTTCTGAACACAGCAGCTATGGCTAGGTTAACGAGAGGTGATGATGGACGATATGACGGTCCTAGCGACGTGTTGTTACAGGGGGTCGACCAGTGATCTTGGTGGCGTTGTATCGGTGTCTAAGACTGACTGACTGACTGAGTTTGGTTTTACGCCGCTTTTAGCAATATTCCAGCAACATCACGGCGGGGACACCAGAAATGGGCTTCTGCCACATTGTACCCATGTGGGTTTCTAAGAAGGTTCTATCGTTCGTACGCTGCAATTGAAGTCATTAGCAATGACTCGAACACGTTGACCAGCGTCTAGACGTCCAATAGCTTGTTGTCGTTGATCTCTCGTTAACTCAGCCATAGCTGCTGCGTTCAGAAAACAAGTGAACCATTGCCATTCAAGCCGACAATTTATGCCTGAATGATGCACGTGCATCTCGATTTCAATATTGTGTTTGTGCGAACTCCTCCCTTTCCACAAGCAAAAACATTTCAAACCTCAATCTCAAACAATACTTTACTGGGCACAAACAGGCTTCATGTTTTCCTAAAACTTGACTTCCGGTGTTTATTTTAAATAAATAGGTTAAATACTCCATTGATACCTAAATATCATTTCCAATATTTCGACGTTTCTATTGCCTTTCAGTATATTTTCAAACAACTAACAACTTTAAACTTAATCACTGTGCTTACTTTTCACTTCACTGGGCATACTTCAGTCTGACGTTTCTTGGTTCCTTCACAGTTTGTCAGCGTATTCATCTTAAATTCAACCTGGGGTATGGCAGCAAGGTAACATGCAAGTTCAGACAACTGGTAATTCATGATAGGACTCTCCATAAATTCTCCACTTCGAGATATATATTTAAACAATTTTGGTGTTAGTATTTGCTCTTATTACGGCTGAAATGAAACGTTAAAAAAACAAAAACATTTGTAAACCGTAGTTGGGAATACAAAGTGAACAACTGGTAATAGTTACATAAGAACGTGTATTCAACAAAAATCATCATCATTATCACCATATACTTTTTAACAGGTGAAAATATTCTAATTTTTTAAAAGCAGCAGTTTTCGATTGCTTCTGTAATGTTTATCACTTTTGGAATTGAGTAATCGTTCTTGTTTGAAGTAGTTCTGATGTTTATACACCAATATGAAATCCTTCCAGAGAGGCACGAGTCGCTATTCGGTATGTCCCTGAATAACACGACTTGGTCACGAATGCATGCGCCAGTGATGAAATCCTTACAGCCGTAGTTTACAATGTGTAAAGTTTAATGTCATCAAATCTATCTACATGTTCACAATGGGAAATACTACTTCACAGTGTGACAAATCGTGTTATTTAAAGCAAACTCTCTTTCAGTGAAAATAGCTTTCCCTTCTTTGGGGCCATTTGAACGTATTTTCAAAATATTTAAGGAAAGCATAAACACCACTATCAAACAGTGACACCAGTGATGGCGAAAAGTTTAGGTTATCCTGACACACCGGTTGCACCAATCACACATGCAAAGGCAAGGCAACTGGTCCCCTGACCCCAGGATCATGAAAGTGTCTTATGTCCACATTTTGTCTTAATTCTTAAAATGTAGACGTAAGACTAAATTGTGTCTTAAATCGGGGATCACGAAGCTCCATCATTGAGAAAATCTAAAATCTAAGACCAAATTTGACCTTATGTCCAAAGACTGCCCCTGAGTAGACTTAAGACAATATTTGTAGCAGTAAAGATGGCTGAAGTGATTAGACTCGTTCGTCGGCTTCGTTCTAAGAGAAATAGATTGCATATTCAGAGGACTTTCCCGGGATCGTTTCAACTTAAGCTTAGTCTCAGGTAAGATTTTGCTGAGACCGTTTCATGATCCAGTCTTAGTCCGGGTCTTAGCTAAGCAAATACAACCAAACTTTAAAAAGACAAATTTCGTGCTAAGCAATTTTCAGACTTAAGACACTTTCATGATCCCGGGGCTGGATACAAACACGGGAATATATGGTACAAGTTAAAATTACATCAGCTACGTTTGTTTGTTGCCGATGTGTCATGTTTGAAATGTACTTCACTGACACGTGAAACCTTTTTGAAGGTTTTACCGTGAATGACGTAACACATTTTGACCACGAGTAGCATTACCTGCTTCGATATTGTCGAATGATATACACACAACCTGCTGAGTGGCCGACACACATGGAACAGCCGACTGTTATAAAGTCACTTCACCTGTCGCAGTCTTGTTAGTTTTTTTAATTCTCGTGTCTATGCATGCAGTGACATTCAAATAGTAATGCATTTGTGAACGCTGGATATGTACATTTGACACGCACATGTGGTTTCACATTCTGCAGTGCATGTGGTTTAAACATATTTTTATTCCGTCAATGCAGAAACCTGGATAGGCGAACAAGCCTAGTGGCTTATATAAACGCCGCTCCAGTACACGGTTCCAATATAGCTGGATACATATTTGAAATAGTCGGACAAGAAAAGAATAATACTGAGACAAAATTACACTCAGAAAAATGATTGAATAATAAACATTTGGTTATGGTGTTGGTTGTGCAGGGGTGCATGGGTGCGCACCCCTCTTTTTGTCCAGAAAGTTTGTTAAATGACCATTGAAACTCGGGTGGAAATGAAGTGTGCACTTTCCTTTTCTCAATAGCGTGCACCCCCCACCCCCCTTTCTCAAAAAGCTGTATCCGCCCCTGTGTTAACCCCTTTGCTGCAAGTACTTGATCACTGCATCTTCCTCGAGTTTGTCCATTATTGAATGGCCATATATATTAATATTTTAGTCGAAATGCGC